AAAAGAATTAACAAAAAAACAAAACAAACAAACTGGAAAGAAAAAAAGAGAAAAGAAAAAGAAAAAAACAAAAAGAAAAGAAAGAAAGAAAAGCAAAGAAGAATAAAGGAAAGAAAGAAAGAAAGAAAAAGAAAAGAAAGAAAGAAAGAAAAAACGAAAAAGCAAACAAGAAAACAAACAAACTGGAAAGGAAAAAAAGAGAAAAAAAAAAAGAAAACCAAAAAAAGAGAAAGAAAAAAAAAAACAAAGAAAGAAAAAAAGAAAGAAAGAAAGAAAGAAAAAAGAAAGAAAGAAAAAAGAAAGAAAGAAAGAATTAAACTAAAAAGAAAAAAGAGAAATTGAAAGGATAGAGAAAAAGAAAAGAAACGAAAAAATGAGGGATGAAGGGAACAGAAGAAAAAGATTAGGAAAAAAACAAAAGAAGAAAGAAAGAAAAGAAAAAAGAAAGAAAGAAAAAGAAAGAAAAAAGAAAGAAAGAAAGAAAGAAAGAAAGAAAGAAAGAAAGAAAGAAAAAAAAGAAAAAGAAACAAACAAACAAACTGGAAAACAAACTGGAAAGGAAAGAAAGGAAAAAAAAGAAACCAAAAACCAAGATAAGAAAGAAAGAAAGAAAGCAAGAAAGAAAGAATAAAAGAAAGAAAGAAAGAAAGAAAGAAAGAAAGAAAGAAAAAAAGAAAGAAAGAAAGAATTAAAACAAAAAAAGAAAAGGAAAGAGAGAAATTGAAAGGATAGAGAAATAAGAACAAGAACGAAATAATGAGGGGAGTTTAGAGGGAAGCAAGAAGTAATAAGAAGGAAAAAAATAAAAGAAGAGAGAAACAAAAGCAAAGAAGAAAGAAAGAAAAAGAAAGAAAGAAAAGAAGAAAAGAAAGAAAGAAAAAGAAAGAAAGAATAAAAGAAAGGAAGAAAGAAAGAAAAACAAACAAACAAAGAAATAAACAAACTGAAAAAGGAAGTAAAAGAAAGGAAAAAGAAGGAAAAAAAAAAAAGAAAGAAAAGAAAGAAAGAAAGAAAGAATAAAAGAAAGAAAGAAAGAAAGAAAGAAGGAAAAGCAAAAGAAAGAACAAAAAAAACTGAAAAGGAAGTAAAGAGAAAAGGAAAATGAAAGGAAAAAGAAAAAAAAAACAAGAAAGAAAGAATGAAAGGAAAGAAAAAGAGGGAAAGAAAGAAAAAAAAGAAAGAAGGAAAAAAGAAACTGAAAGAATTAAAGAAAAGAAAAAAAGAAACAAAAAGAAAGAAAAGAAGAAGAAAGAAAGCAATGAAGAAAGAAAGAAAGAAAGAAAGAAAAGAATAAAAAAGAAAGAAAGAAAAAAGAAAGAAAGAAAGAAAGAAACAAGAAAAACAAAGAAACAAACAAAAGGAAAGGAAGTAAAGAGAAAGGAAAACGAAAAAAAAAAAACAAGAAAGAAAGAAAAAAAGAAAAAAAGAAAGAAAAAGAAAGAAAGAAAGAAAGAAAAAGCAAACAAACAAAAACAAACTGGAAAAGGAAGTAAAAGAAAGGAAAAAAAGAAACCAAAAAAATAAAAAAGAAAGAAAGAAAGAAAGAAAGAAAGAAAGAAAGAAAGAAAGAAAGAAAAGAAAGAAAAAAGAAAGAAAGAAAGAAAGAAAGAAAGAAAGAAAAAAGAAAGAAAAAAGCAAAACAAAACAAAACAAAACAAACTGGAAAAAGAAAGAGAAAGAAAGAAAACCAAAAAACCAAGAAAGAAAGAAAGAAAGAAAAAAGAAAGATCGAAAAAAATGAAAGAAAGAAAAAGAAAGAAAACAAGCAAACAAACAAAAAAACAAACTGGAAAGGAAAAAGAGAAAGGAAAAAAAGAACCAAAAACCAAGATAAAAAGAGAAAGAAAGAAAGAATAAAAGAAAGAAAGTAAGAAAGAAAGAAAAAGAAAGAAAAAGAAAAAAAGAAAGAAAGAAAGAAAGAAAAAAGAAAGAAACAAGCAAAACAAACAAACAAACAAACTGGAAAAAGGAAAGAGAAAAAGAAAGGAAAAAAAAAAGATAAGAAAGAAAGAAAGAAAGAAAAGAAAAAATAAAAGAAAGAAAGAAAATAAAAGAAAAAAAAAAGAAAAAAAGAAAGAAAGAATTAAACTGAAACAAAAAAAACAAACAAACAAAAAAGGAAAGAAGAGAGAAACAAAAGCAATGAAGAAAGAAAGAAAGAAAGAAAGAAAGAATAAAAGAAAGAAAGAATAAAAGAAAGAAAGAAAGAAAGAAAGAAAGAAAGCAAACAAAGAAACAAACAAACTGGAAAGGAAGTAAAGAGAAAGGAAAAAAGAAACCAAAAACCAAGATAAGAAAGAAAGAAAGAAAGAATAAAAGAAAGAAAGAAAGAAAGAAAGAATAAAAGAAAGAAAGAAAGAAAGAATCAAGCAAAAAAAAAAAAAAAAAACTGGAAAAAGTAAAAGAAAGGAAAAAAGAAACCAAAAACCAAGATAAAAAGAAAGAAAAGAAAGAATAAAAAAGAAAGAAAAAAGAAAGAAAGAAAGAAAAAGAAAGAAAGAAAGAAAGAAAGAAAGAAAGAAAGGAAGAAAGAAAGAAATAAGAAGAAAAAGAAAAAAGAAGAAAGAAACAAAAGCAATGAAGAAAGAAAAAAAGAAAGAAAGAAAGATAAGAAAAAAGAAAGAAAGAATAAAAGAAAGAAAGAAAGAATAAAAGAAAGAAAGAAAGAAAGAAAGAAAGAAACAAGCAAACAAACAAACAAACAAACTGGAAAGGAAGTAAAGAGAAAGGAAAATGAAACCAAAAACCAAGATAAGAAAGAAAGAAAGAATAAAACAAAGAAAGAAAGAATAAAAGAAAGAAAGAAAGAAAGAAAAGAAAGAAAGAAACAAGCAAACAAACAAACAAACAAACTGGAAAGGAAGTAAAGAGAAAGGAAAAAAAGAAACCAAAAACCAAGATAAGAAAGAAAGAAAGAAAGAAAGAATAAAAAGAAAGAAAGAAAGAAAGAAAGAAAGAAAGAAAAAAGAAAGAAAGAAAGAAAGAAGAAAGAAAGAAAGAAAAAAGAAAACAAAGAAAAAAAACAAAAGAAAGGAAGAAAGAGAAAAAAACAAAACAAAAAAAAAAACCAAGATAAGAAAGAAAGAAAGAAAGCAAGAAAGAAAGAAAAAAGAAAGAAAAGAAAGAAAAGAAAGAAAGAAAAAAGAAAGAAAAAATGAAAAGAAAGAAAGAAAGAAAGAAAGGAAAGAAAGAAAAACAAGAACAAATAAAACAAAAAGTTAGAGAAAGCAAGAAGTAAAGGAAAAAAAGAAAAGAAGAGAGAAACAAATGCAAATAAAGAAAGAGAAAGAAAGAAAGAAAGATTAAAAGAAAGAAAGAAAAGAAAGAATGTAAGAATAAAAGAAAAAGAAAGAAAGAAAGAAAGAAAGAAAGAAAGAAACAAGCAAACAAGCAAAAACAAAACAAAACAAACTGGAAAGGAAAAAAAGAGAAAGGAAAAAAGAAACCAAAACCAAGATAAGAAAGAAAGAAAGAAAAGAAAGAAAGAATAAAAGAAAGAAAGAAAGAAAGAAAAGAAAGAATAAAAGAAAGAAAGAAAGAAAAACTAAAATTAAAAAAAGAAAAAGGAAGAGAGAAAAATTTGAAAAGAAAGAAAAAAAAAAAGAAAACATAAAATAATGAGGGAGTGTTAGATGGAAACAAGAACAAAAAGGAAAATAAAAGAAGAGAGAAAAAAAAGAAAGAAAGAAAGAAAAAGAAAGAAAGAAAAAAAGAAAGAAAAGAATAGATAGACTGGAAAATATGCAGAACGAAATATGAAAAACATGACACATAAGAAAAGTAAGAAAGACAGAATGAAACAACGGAAAGAAAGAAACTGGCAAGCAAGAAAGCAAAGAAACATGCAAAGAAGGTAAGTAAGATAGAAAAAAAGAAAAAAAGAAAAGAATATATTGGTAAAATATGAAGAAGAAAATAGAAAAAAAGAATAAAAACAAATTTATGGAAAGACAGAAAGAAAGAAAGAAAGAAAGAAAGAAGCAAAAGGAAAGAAAAAGACAAAAGCTAAGAAAAGAAATAAAAAAAAAAACAAAAAAAAACAAAAGAAAGAAAAATACAGCAAGAAAAAAGAGAAAGAGAAAAAAGAAAGAAAAAAAACCAAGAAAAGAAAGAAAAATGAAAGAAAAGAGCTTGAAAAAAGAAATACAATAGAAAGCATGAAATGAATAAATCATTTGATGAACAAGAAAAATACATCTTTAAAGAATGGAAAGTCAAAACACATCAAAACAAACAAAAAATATGAATATAGTAAAGAGAAAGGAGAAAGACAATTTTTGAAGATAGATAATAGAAGAAAGATAGAAGATAGAAGATAAGAAGAAGAAAAAAAGAAAGAAGAAAGAATACAAAAAAGAAAGAAAGAAAGAAAGAAAAGAAAGAAATAGAAGATAAAGAAAACGAGACTGAACTCACTGTCAAAGATAATAAAGATAGGATAATAGGAAAGGATAGATAAGAAAAGTTCAAAACTAAGATAGAAGATAGAAGATAGAAGGAATAGATAAAGATAAAGAAAGAATAAATTTTAAAGAAAGGGTTAAAGAATACACAAGAAAAGAAAGATAGAAGAAAGACAAAGATAGATAGATAGAATGAAGAGACTGGGGAAAGAAAGATAGAAGATAGATAGAAATAGATAGATAGATAAATAGATAAACAAATAGTCAGGAAAAGGATTTGTAAAAGAAGGGTTATAAGATGATTTATACACATACACAACATATAGATAGATAGATAGATAGATAGATAGATAGATAGAAAAGTGGGGAGAAACTGGTTCAAAGAATTAGATAGATAGATAGATAGAGAAGATAGAAATAGAAAAATGAAGAAAAAAGAAAGAGAAGATAGATAGATAGATAGAAGATAGATAGATAGATAGATAGATAGATAGAAGACAGCTGAAAAGATTTGTAAAAACAAATAGACTGATTTATACAACACACACAAGATAATAGATAGATAGATAGAAAATAGATAGGATAGTGGGAAAATGT